GCTAGTCACCAGTGAGTTTGGTATAGTATATGTACATATATGTACTGAGTAACCAGTGAGTGTTGGTATAGTATATGTACATATATGTACTGAGTCACCAGTTAGTGTTGGTGTAGTATATGTACATATATGCACTGAGTCACCAGTTAGAGTTGGTATAGTATATGTACATATATGTACTGAGTAACCAGTGAGTGTTGGTATAGTATATGTACATATATGTACTGTGTCACCAGTTAGTGTTGGTGTAGTATATGTACATATATGCACTGAGTCACCAGTTAGAGTTGGTATAGTATATGTACATATATGCACTGAGTAACCAGTGAGTGTTGGTATAGTATATGTGCATATATGTACTGTGTCACCAGTTACTGTTGGTGTAGTATATGTACATATATGTACTGAGTAACCAGTGAGTGTTGGTATAGTATATGTACATATATGTACTGTGTCACCAGTTAGTGTTGGTGTAGTATATGTACATATATGCACTGAGTCACCAGTTAGAAGTGGTATAGTATATGTACATATATGTACTGAGTAAGCAGTGAGTGTTGGTATAGTATATGTACATATATGTACTGTGTCACCAGTTAGTGTTGCTATAGTATATGTACATATATATACTGAGTCACCAGTTAGTGTTGGTATAGTATATGTACATATATGCACTGAGTCACCAGTTAGAAGTGGTATAGTATATGTACATATATGTACTGAGTAAGCAGTGAGTGTTGGTATAGTATATGTACATATATGTACTGAGTCACCAGTTAGACTTGGTATAGTATATGTACATATATGCACTGAGTCACCAGTTAGAGTTGGTATAGTATATGTACATATATGTACTGAGTCACCAGTGAGTGTTGGTATAGTATATGTACATATATGTACTGTGTCACCAGTTAGTGTTGGTGTAGTATATGTACATATATATACTGAGTAACCAGTGAGTGTTGGTATAGTATATGGGCGGTGGGGTAGCCTAGTGGTTAAAGCCTTAGCTCGTCACGCCGACGACCCGGGTTCGAATCCCCACATGGGTACAATGTGTGAAGCCCATTTCTGGTGTCCCCCGTCGTGATGTTGCTGGAATATTGCTAAAAGCGGCGTAAAACCAACCTCAGTCAGTGGTATAGTATATGTACATGTATGCACTGAGTCACCAGTTCGTGTTGGTTTGGTATATGTACATATATGCACTGAGTCACCCGTTAGTGTTGGTAAAGTATATGTACATATATGTACTGAGTCACCAGTTAGTGTTGCTATAGTATATGTACATATATGCACTGAGTCACCAGTTAGTGTTGGTATAGTGTATGTACATATATGTACTGAGTCACCAGTTAGTGTTGCTATAGTATATGTACATATATGTACTGTGTCACCAGTTAGTGTTGGTGTAGTATATGTACATATATGTACAGTCACCAGTTAGTGTTGGTAAAGTATATGTACATATATGTACCGAGTAACCAGTTAGTGTCGGTGTAGTATATGTACATATATATACTGAGTGACCAGTTAGTGTTGGTATAGTATATGTACATATATGTACTGTGTCACCAGTTAGTGTTGGTGTAGTATATGTACATATATGTACGGTGTCACCAGTTAGTGTTGGTATAGTATACGTAAATATATGTACTGAGGGACCAGTTAGTGTTGGTATTGTATATGTACATATATGTACTTAGTGACCAGTTAGTGTTTGTATGGTATACGTACATATATACTGAGTCACCAGTTAGTGTTGGTATAGTATATGTACAGATATGCACTGAGTCACCAGTTAGTGTTGGTATAGTATACGTAAATATATGTACTGAGTCACCAGTTAGTGTTGGTATAGTACCGTACATATATGTACTGAGTAACCAGTGAGTGTTGGTATAGTATATGTACATATATGTATCGAGTCACCAGTTAGTGTTGGTATAGTATATGTACATATATGTACTGTGTCACCAGTTAGTGTTGGTGTAGTATATGTACATATATGTACTGAGGGACCAGTTAGTGTTGGTATAGTATATGTACATATATGTACTGAGTCACCAGTTAGTGTTGGTATAGTATATGTACATATATGTACTGTATCACCAGTTAGTGTTGGTATAGTATGTGTACATATATGTACTGAGTCACCAGTTAGTGTTGGTATAGTATATGTACATATATGTACTGTGTCACCAGTTAGTGTTGGTATAGTACCGTACATATATGTACTGAGTCACCAGTTAGTGTTGGTATAGTATATGTACATAGATGTACTGAGTCACCAGTTAGTGTTGGTATAGTATATGTACATATATGTACTGTGTCACCAGTTAGTGTTGGTATAGTATATGGGCGGTGGGGTAGCCTAGTGGTTGAAGCGTTAGCTCGTCACGCCGACGACCCGGGTTCGAATCCCCACATGGGTACAATGTGTGAAGCCCATTTCTGGTGTCCCCCGTCTTGATGTTGCTGGAATATTGCTAAAAGCGGCGTAAAACCAACCTCAGTCAGTGGTATAGTATATGTACATGTATGCACTGAGTCACCTGTTCGTGTTGGTTTGGTATATGTACATATATGCACTGAGTCACCCGTTAGTGTTGGTAAAGTATATGTACATATATGTACTGAGTCACCAGTTAGTGTTGCTATAGTATATGTACATATATATACTGAGTGACCAGTTAGTGTTGGTATAGTATATGTACATATATGTACTGAGTCACCAGTTAGTGTTGGTATAGTATATGTACATATATGTACTGAGTCACCAGTTAGTGTTGGTATAGTATATGTACATATATGTACTGTGTCACCAGTTAGTGTTGGTGTAGTATATGTACATATATGTACAGTCACCAGTTAGTGTTGGTGTAGTATATGTACATATATGTACTGAGGGACCAGTTAGTGTTGGTATAGTATATGTACATATATGCACTGTTTCACCAGTTAGTGTTGGTATGGTATACGTATATATACGTACTGAGTGATCAGTTAGTGTTGGTATAGTACCGTACATATATGTACTGTGTTACCAGTTAGTGTTGGTATAGTATATGTACATATATGTACTGAGTGACCAGTTGGTGTTGGTATAGTATGTGCACATAAAATGTACCGAGTCACCAGTTAGTGTTGGTATAGTATATGTACATATATGTACTCTGTCACCAGTTAGTATTGGTGTGGTATATGTACATATATGTACTGAGTCACCAGTTAGTGTTGGTATGGTATACGTACATATATGTACTGAGTCACCAGTTAGTGTTGGTGTAGTATATGTACATATTTCGTTATTTCGTTGGTTTGTCCACTGCTCAACAAAGCCATGTCTACTCTCATCAAATATATTCACATCTTACATGTCGTAATGCATTGCTAATGTTATTAAAGTCAGTGCACCGAACAAACATTATTGTGGTCCTCTTCATTATCTTTGACTATAATTGAATTGCCAGAGCCTACATTTTGCCCCACCAACCGATTGAAGTGTGTACAATTGTTAATGTGAGTAACATCGGCGACATCGCGTGTACAACGGCTACACCATGTATTCAGTAAAGATTACGGTGTTCGAGGTACATAGGCCAATAATTCTGCAGCTTCGTTGCGTAATGGGCGTGCTGGCGGCGTGCTGATCCATACGCGGAGGATGGAATGGGTAAACAATGTTATACTTCAAACTAACTTCATGTTTACGTAGCACAACTGATAAAAGTAACTGAAACTGATATCAACTGATCACACTTACAACATACAGCAATGGTTGAGGTGTAGCGCCTTTGATAAAAAATAAGGTCTATCTGCGTACAACACATTAAATGACGTTTTAGAGCTATGAATACAAGTAGATTTACTACAGCAAGGGCATTTGTTTACCATGTAGAAATGTTACACATTGTACACGCTACCTCTGATGAAGTGACAGGATCCTCGACTTGTAGAAATGGATCAACATATCAAGCAAAGTTGATTATGTAAGTGGAAAATCTTTCAGAAAAGGAAATGGTAAAATGATTTGAAAGCCACTCATATATTTGGTTTAATGTTTATTTCTACGAGACGACATGTTACTTGCCTGGTGCTGTTGGTATTGTCTTTTGTAGCCTGCTGGTGCAAATAATTACAACTAGGGAAAAATGTTCACTTTTCTGGAGCACGGCAGTTCTAAGGTTTTGAGACAGCGAGGACATTCTAATATATAGTGCTGTACTGCTGGATGCGTTTTACCACCACACTGGTTACAGAGGTGACACCAGCAACACCGACACTACTAGTTGATTACCCTCCATCAGCTGGAACCAGTACAATATGACATTACATACAGTTATGATTCCATGTCCAGTTTCAAAGTGTCGTAAACCATGTTATTTCTGGGTCCATTATCTCCAGACGCAATAGCCCTAATGGTTGCCTGAGACTCGGTGAAAATGTTTACTTCATGGTCATATTCATGTGCCAGACTCAGTGCTTTTAGAATTGTTACAAGTTCTGCTGCAATAGCCGATATAAAATAATGATGTCTGGACCCGCCTCCGCCGTGATGCTGCTGGAATATTGCTAAAAGCGGCGTAAAACCATACTCACTCACTCACTCTGGACCCATCTGAGATGGTATGATTAGGGATGCGGAAAGCGAGAACCATGTTTTCATGTTGCATAGCCCTCTTATATACAATCATCAGTAAATCCACCATGTGTTGCCAACGTTCTTCATTTCCCCTTCACAGTCCGAGAGTGTCAGTGACATCCTCATCAGAGTGTTCGGATGTCGTGTTCTGGGTGTCATGGCTAACGTATTCTCTTGACTTCGATTGCAATTCAAGTTTGAATGTTTGGAATTATTGTTCGAATACATTTTCATACATACATGTAGTTGTTTCAAGTAGACAATCTGTGAAACATATAGGTGTGCACGTGTTGCACTGACTAAAGAAACAATGGTAACGAGATGGAGAGTATAACAACAGTTGATGATGTTCCAGATACGCGGTGTCACTGCCAGGGGAGTGCTGCTGTGGTACTGGCTACTTGTAATGCAGGACGGTGGTCACGGTGTTTCTATAGGTAAATGGTCTGCTACACCACGTCCATACCGCATTATTTGGTAAACCGTTTAAGGAATGCTCAATGATCTGGCTTCGATTACTTTTGTTCCTTCCAGAGTTCAACTGTCTTCGAGAGGGTACAAGCTGTAAGGCTGGAGGCACATGCACCCCAGAAGGAGATTGTGTCTGCCCGGGCAACACGGGTGGCTTTGACTGCTCTCACGGTCAGCTCCACACTAGAACTGTGTGACGTCGCGATACAAAATAAATATTTTGTCTTCCCATCCGTACATTTTACCTTACGTGCGAAGGAGACTTACATCCTTGGCTCCAATAGATATTTAAATCCTACATAAATTTAGATGATCCAGAGACATGTTTAATGTTCTGATTTAAGTTAAAGTTAGTGTTATAATGATGTTACAGATATATGTCGCGATGTTTGGTAATATGTTGATCTATCTTGACTGTCGCCGATATCAGTATCACATATAGTTTGAGTGCTTTTGGTTTCATAAAGATGAAACCTAAGTTATAACAGCAATTGGCAACGACCTGAATTTAATAAATTCGTTAATTCGAAGTTGTTCGGTACACACATTTTAAGCTGTCCTCGAATACCTCCAGAGATAAGATCAACTGACTCAGCACAGCGCAGCACTACAGTATCTAGATGATGTCTAAGTTTAGTTGCACAAGGAGTAGCATGAAGGTGGCATGCTCCATTCTTACACTGACTGGTCTGCTTCCCGGGACCCAATATAATGATGCGGGCAGTAACGAAAGATCTACCACATCAACACGAGGATGTCCTATCAATTATGCTTAACACGACAAGATATACGCCAGAATGTACAAAACACAAACGCTATGCGTGCGTCTGACTAAGTAACTGTATGTGACCAATACTCATCCTGGTGACCAATACTCATCTTTGTGTACGTCCAACTCTCACCTCCAGACACTTCCGTTTCTGCTGCACTGTTAATGTGTCTGCATGTCCAACTCTCACCTCCAGACACTTCCGTTTCTGCTGCACTGTTAATGTGTCTGTACGTCCAACTCTCACCTCCAGACACCTCCGTCTATGCTGCACTGTTAATGTGTCTGCATGTCCAACTCTCACCTCCAGACACTTCCGTTTCTGCTGCACTGTTAATGTGTCTGCATGTCCAACTCTCACCTCCAGACACTTCCGTTTCTGCTGCACTGTTAATGTGTCTGCATGTCCAACTCTCACCTCCAGACACTTCCGTTTCTGCTGCACTGTTAATGTGTCTGCATGTCCAACTCTCACCTCCAGACACTTCCGTTTCTGCTGCACTGTTAATGTGTCTGCATGTCCAACTCTCACCTCCAGACACTTCCGTTTCTGCTGCACTGTTAATGTGTCTGCATGTCCAACTCTCACCTCCAGACACCCTCCTTCTGCTGCTGTTAATGTGTCTGTTAATGTGTCTGTATGTCCAACTCTCACCTCCAGACACTTCCGTTTCTGCTGCACTGTTAATGTGTCTGCATGTCCAACTCTCACCTCCAGACACTTCCGTTTCTGCTGCACTGTTAATGTGTCTGCATGTCCAACTCTCACCTCCAGACACTTCCGTTTCTGCTGCACTGTTAATGTGTCTGCATGTCCAACTCTCACCTCCAGACACTTCCGTTTCTGCTGCACTGTTAATGTGTCTGCATGTCCAACTCTCACCTCCAGACACCTTCCGTTTCTGCTGCTGCACTGTTAATGTGTCTGCATGTCCAACTCTCACCTCCAGACACTTCCGTTTCTGCTGCACTGTTAATGTGTCTGCATGTCCAACTCTCACCTCCAGACACTTCCGTTTCTGCTGCACTGTTAATGTGTCTGCACGTCCAACTCTCACCTCCAGACACCTCCTCTTCTGCTGCTCTGTTAATGTGTCTGCATGTCCAACTCTCACCTCCAGACACTTCCGTTTCTGCTGCACTGTTAATGTGTCTGTACGTCCAACTCTCACCTCCAGACACCTCCTCTAATGCTGCTCTGTTAATGTGTCTGCATGTCCAACTCTCACCTCCAGACACTTCCGTTTCTGCTGCACTGTTAATGTGTCTGTACGTCCAACTCTCACCTCCAGACACCTCCTCTCCAACTCTCGCTGCACTGTTAATGTGTCTGCATGTCTGCATGTCCAACTCTCACCTCCAGACACCTCCTCTAATGCTGCTCTGTTAATGTGTCTGTACGTCCAACTCTCACTTCCAGACACCTCCTCTAATGCTGCTCTGTTAATGTGTCTGCATGTCCAACTCTCACCTCCAGACACTTCCGTTTCTGCTGCTCTGTTAATGTGTCTGCATGTCCAACTCTCACCTCCAGATACCTCCTCTAATGCTGCTCTGTTAATGTGTCTGTATGTCCAACTCTCACCTCCTGACACCTCCTCTAATGCTGATCTGTTAATGTGTCTGTATGTCCAACTCTCACCTCCTGACACCTCCTCTAATGCTGCTCTGTTAATGTGTCTGTATGTCCAACTCTCACCTCCAGACACCTCCTCTAATGCTGCTCTGTTAATGTGTCTGTATGTCCAACTCTCACCTCCAGACACCTCCTCTAATGCTGCTCTGTTAATGTGTCTGTATGTCCAACTCTCACCTCCAGACACCTCCTCTAATGCTGCTCTGTTAATGTGTCTGTATGTCCAACTCTCACCTCCAGACACCTCCTCTAATGCTGCTCTGTTAATGTGTCTGTATGTCCAACTCTCACCTCCAGACACCTCCTCTAATGCTGCTCTGTTAATGTGTCTGTATGTCCAACTCTCACCTCCTGACACCTCCTCTAATGCTGCTCTGTTAATGTGTTTCTGTATGTCCAACTCTCACCTCCTGACACCTCCTCTAATGCTGCTCTGTTAATGTGTCTGCATGTCCAACTCTGTACCTCCTGACACCTCCTCTAATGCTGCTCTGTTAATGTGTCTGTATGTCCAACTCTCACCTCCAGACACCTCCTCTAATGCTGCTCTGTTAATGTGTCTGTATGTCCAACTCTCACCTCCAGACACCTCCTCTAATGCTGCTCTGTTAATGTGTCTGTAATGTGTCTGCATGTCCAACTCTCACCTCCAGACACCTCCTCTAATGCTGCTCTGTTAATGTGTCTGTACGTTCAAATCTCACTTCCTGACACCTCCTCTAATGCTGCTCTGTTAATGTGTCTGTACGTTCAACTCTCACCTCCAGACACCTCCTCTAATGCTGCTCTGTTAATGTGTCTGTATGTCCAACTCTCACCTCCTGACACCTCCTCTAATGCTGCTCTAATGTGTCTGCATGTCTCCTCTAATGCTGTCTGTTAATGTGTCTGTATGTCCAACTCTCACCTCCTGACACCTCCTCTAATGCTGCTCTGTTAATGTGTCTGTATGTCCAACTCTCACCTCCTGACACCTCCTCTAATGCTGCTCTGTTAATGTGTCTGTATGTCCAACTCTCACCTCCTGACACCTCCTCTAATGCTGCTCTGTTAATGTGTCTGTACGTTCAACTCTCACCTCCTGACACCTCCTCTAATGCTGCTCTGTTAATGTGTCTGTACGTCCAACTCTCACCTCCAGACACCTCCTCTAATGCTGCTCTGTTAATGTGTCTGTATGTCCAACTCTCACCTCCTGAACCTCCTCTAATGACACTTCCGTTTCTGCTGCTCTGACACCTCCACCTCTCTGCTGCTCTGTTAATGTGTCTGTATGTCCAACTCTCACCTCCTGACACCTCCTCTAATGCTGCTCTGTTAATGTGTCTGTATGTCCAACTCTCACCTCCTGACACCTCCTCTAATGCTGCACTGTTAATGTTTCTGTATGTCCAACTCTCACCTCCAGACACCTCCTCTAATGCTGCTCTGTTAATGTGTCTGTATGTCCAACTCTCACCTCCAGACACCTCCTCTAATGCTGCTCTGTTAATGTGTCTGTATGTCCAACTCTCACCTCCAGACACCTCCTCTAATGCTGCTCTGTTAATGTGTCTGTATGTCCAACTCTCACCTCCTGACACCTCCTCTAATGCTGCTCTGTTAATGTTTCTGTATGTCCACCTCACTCTAATGCTGCTCTGTTAATGTGTTAATGTCTGTATGTCCAACTCTCACCTCCAGACACCTCCTCTAATGCTGCTCTGTTAATGTGTTAATGTGTCTGTATGTCCAACTCTCACCTCCTGACACCTCCTCTAATGCTGCTCTGTTAATGTGTCTGCATGTCCAACTCTCACCTCCTGACACCTCCTCTAATGCTGCTCTGTTAATGTGTCTGCATGTCCAACTCTCACCTCCAGACACCTCCTCTAATGCTGCTCTGTTAATGTGTCTGTATGTCCAACTCTCACCTCCTGACACCTCCTCTAATGCTGCTCTGTTAATGTGTCTGTATGTCCAACTCTCACCTCCAGACACCTCCTCTAATGCTGCTCTGTTAATGTGTCTGTATGTCCAACTCTCACCTCCACACACTCCTCTAATGCTGCTCTGTTAATGTGTCTGTATGTCCAACTCTCACCTCCAGACACCTCCTCTAATGCTGCTCTGTTAATGTGTCTGTATGTCCAACTCTCACCTCCTGACACCTCCTCTAATGCTGCTCTGTTAATGTGTCTGTATGTCCAACTCTCACTTCCTGACACCTCCTCTAATGCTGCTCTGTTAATGTGTCTGTATGTCCAACTCTCACCTCCAGACACCTCCTCTAATGCTGCTCTGTTAATGTGTCTGCATGTCCAACTCTCACCTCCAGACACTTCCGTTTCTGCTGCTCTGTTAATGTGTCTGTATGTCCAACTCTCACCTCCAGACACCTCCTCTAATGCTGCTCTGTTAATGTGTCTGTATGTCCAACTCTCACCTCCTGACACCTCCTCTAATGCTGCTCTGTTAATGTGTCTGTATGTCCAACTCTCACCTCCAGACACCTCCTCTAATGCTGCTCTGTTAATGTGTCTGTATGTCCAACTCTCACCTCCAGACACCTCCTCTAATGCTGCGGATCAGAGAAGCTGTGGCTGTAACGAGGCTGCCCAAGGGTTCTTCTGTAAGACGAACGGAGATTGCTTCTGTCCACCTTCTCACTACGGAAACAAGTGTCAGTTCAAAACGTGTAAGTAAACCTACATTCTGTGCATCTTTTCAAGTTCTCCATGATCCTTGTGTGAATGAAGTAATGTGTGTACCTTGAGCTAATAACTTCATGATACCAGCTAGACAAATTGATACATGTCGCATTGTACCCACACAGAATGGGTCAATGTTCCTCCTCCTCGTTGAAGCCATCTTCATACAACTCCAGGATCTCATGATTGTCTCTGATCTCCCCGATTAAAAACGTCTTTGACAAGCTTCTGCTCAGAAACAAAATCTGGGGATACAATGAGCCGCACTAAAAGATGTATCTATGAATAGCATCTGTAGAACTTGATATATCAGTTATGACCAGTTGAAAAGACTATCTCGATTTATTGGTAATATAAGCATGCTTCATTACTAATCCACAGTTCAGGTCGTCTGCTCTCTTCCCGGAAAAATAATCACCAACATCAATGTTCCGGGAGCTATGACCGCACGTGTCTTCCTCAAAGACAAGAGAGGAAGTTGTGATTTTAGTACCACTGTCCCTGCTGACACTCCTGCAGGGTGGGTTGGAACATTCCTGGAGGTCGGCATTGATGCCACCTCTAACTGTCCAGCAGAGATTGTCACACGTCCAGTAAGTACAGTTCAAGCCATTTAGAATTAGGGGACATGCCTCTTTGATGAAATCGGTCACTTGTATCAGTTCTCGATATCCGTGACAATATACAGTTAAAGGTGAGTGAGTGCGTAAGGTTTTACGACGCTTTCAGCAATATTTCAGAACATCACGGCGGGGGACATCGGAAATGAGCTTGACACATTGTGCCCGTGTGGGGTATAGTACCCGGTTCTTCGTGGTACCGAGGGAACTTAAACACTTGGCTACCCCACCGCCCCCTTCTTAGAATGAAGGGTTGTGAGTTACATTCAAGGTACAGATGGCTGTGCTGTTACTGCAGATACAGAATAAAGGTAAAAGTATATACATTGTATACTATGTATATGGTTATTGCTTCCTTATCCTATCAGCATTTCAAATCTTTTCACGTCTTTAAATGTGTTTTAGCCTCAGTATTTGGTTTGCTGGATTCAACTGGCAGGTTTCGTGAATATTGGATGCCATAGCACAAAATGAATCAGTTTCATGTTAACTGTAATTTGACAGTTGTTGAAACAGAAGTAACTATTATTTTTTGGTCATATGTCTTACTTGTAGAATGGTGTTGTTGGACATTGCGTGACCTCGATGCTACAATACAACGCCCTATATATCAGTGGACAGGACGCTGCCATCCGTCTCTGCTGCGAGGATACTGTCGTGTCCAAGGATGTGGGCCAGCTTCAGCCTGTTGATAGGTAGGTCGTGCCTTCTGGATTTATGGGCGATATCCTAACCTCTAGACGCAACCATATATCTGGACTATATACACGATTTATCAGATATTTAGCACTATGAGAAATGACATGAAGTATCACATGTTAAATTATCATTTTTCTTACATGTTTGCAAGGTGAGACTGTAACTGTACTGGCTACAGAAATAACTTAGTATTCACGATCAGTATTTTAATGTTTCACTGTGTCTTGTGAAGAAAGACGTATCTGAGGGTTAATATTTCACGTTCAGCTGTTGTTAACTACTTTTAAACTCTGCCTCTAGTAGGCAACAGAAACCAAATATTAATGATAGTGTTGAACGTGATGCTAGACAGGCTAGATGCTCACACACAACACACACCGGTTAATCAAGTCAGTACGTAACGAGGCTAGAGTTGAACGTGATGCTAGACAGGCTAGATGCTCACACACAACACACACCGGTTAATCAAGTCAGTACGTAACGAGGCTAGAGTTCACACACAACACACACCGGCGTGATGCTAGAGTTGAACGTGATGCTAGATGCTCACACACAACACACACGGTTAATCAAGTCAGTCAGTACGTAACGAGGCTAGAGTTGAGAGGGGATGCTAGACAGCTAGACAGGCTATGCTCACACACAACACACACCGGTTAATCAAGTCAGTACGTAACGAGGCTAGTAGTAACGAGGCTAGAGTTGAGCGTGATGCTAGACAGGCTAGATGCTCACACACAACACACACCGGTTAATCAAGTCAGTACGTAACGAGGCTAGAGTTGAACGTGATGCTAGACAGGCTAGATGCTCACACACAACACACACCGGTTAATCAAGTCAGTACGTAACGAGGCTAGAGTTGAGCGGAAGCTAGACAGGCTAGATGCTCACACACAACACACACCGGTTAATCAAGTCAGTACGTAACGAGGCTAGAGTTGAGCGTGCTGACAGGCTAGATGCTCACACACACACACACACCGGTTAATCAAGTCAGTACGTAACGAGGCTAGAGTTGAGCGGGAAGCTAGACAGGCTAGATGCTCACACACAACACACACCGGTTAATCAAGTCAGTACGTAACGAGGCTAGAGTTGAACGTGATGCTAGACAGGCTAGATGCTCACACACAACACACACCGGTTAATCAAGTCAGTGCGTAACGAGGCTAGAGTTGAACGTGATGCTAGACAGGCTAGATGCTCACACACAACACACACCGGTTAATCAAGTCAGTGCGTAACGAGCTAGACAGGCTAGAGTTGAGCGTGATGCTAGACAGGCTAGATGCTCACACACAACACACACCGGTTACTCAAGTCAGTACGTAACGAGGCTAGAGTTGAACGTGATGCTAGACAGGCTAGATGCTCACACACAACACACAGCGGTTAATCAAGTCAGTACGCAACGAGGCTAGTGTTAGTGAACGTGATGCTAGACAGGCTAGATGCTCACACACAACGCACACCGGTTAATCAAATCAGTACATACCGAGGAAATAGCTAAATCTGACGGCGGAATATGATATACGTTTCAGCTATTGTAAACATTTTCAGTAGTAAGGTGAGAGACGTGTGGCCGTTGTTCATATTCGAAGCTTCAATAGATGCGTGATCGTTGAGGCATATACGATTTGTTGATAATGTGAACTATTACATCCATCTAGAGTGAGTGAGTGAGTTGGGTTTTACGCCGCTTTTAGCAATATTCCAGCAATATCACGGCGGGGGACACCAGAAATGGGCTTCACACATTGTGCCCATGTGGGGAATCGAACCCGGGCCTTCGGCATGACGAGCGAACGCTTTAACCACTGGGCTACCCCACAGCCCCTCACATCCATCTAGAGGTTTCGATAAGAATATAATAGTTACAACAGGCAGTTTTTAGTTCTGCGTGTATAATGCAACTTCTTTTGCCGACTATTTTATCACACTAAAAAGAACCTTCAATGGTTTCTGTATGTCACAGGTCTACGACGCTGGCACCACAACGGACGTCCCTCGTACACGCTTCCAGCGCAGTGACCATTGTCCTGGCTGTCCTGGCGTGGAGTGTTACTGCACTGCTACGATAAGAGACACTGAACCATTTATGTCAGATAGTCTTCAGAACCACATCCCGTAGGTCTAGCCATTCAACGAGGTCGTCGACACACAATTACTCCTGTCTGGCTGGAAGGATTTAACAATTTGTTTGACATTTGTTTGTCCGTTTGCTTGTTTTCAAAGGTCAAAGGTATAGATTTTGTAGCTAACCAATCTTAAAAGTCGTGGAATCAAACAATCCAATAGAAATTATGACCATGTCTGGTTAACAGTGGAAGTATACTAGAAGATCGAAATATACCAGTTCTGTAATCAAAGCAATAATAAAAGATGTATGACTATTTACTACTAACGATATATTACTGTTTATTTCATTGCCTGAAGGTATTTTAGCATGATAGAGGACTTAGTAAATTCTGTTTTATCAAAATGAAAACTCTAAACTGAAAAGTATTCAATGAAACGCATAGGTGATATTGATGTGGGATTATCAATAGTTTTCAAAGAAAGTGTTCGCTTGTTATAATTTCGCCATTAAAAGCTCTTTTGAATACATGGAACGAATACAGAGTGCGAAAACGCAACTTCGGACACTTAAATGCATGTCTGCTTTCGAAAGCCTCAATTTCCATGAAAATATCCTAGAGTAGAGTGGTTCGGAATTCCGTTGAATCGTGAAAGGTGCCTGAATATAGCCGGGTTTTTTCACTTTAAGACAGTCTTTGGCAATTTTTAGCTAATTGAAAAAAAAACCTCTAAATCGAAACATTGTCATCCGAAGTCTTGTGGCTTGGGAGTCTTGAGTGCTGCGATGGTTACATTGACGTCGACGTTCGAGTCTGGAATCTGCAAAACTGGTGACGTGTTTAGTTTAGTGAGCCAAAATTCTACAAGGTCGAATTCAAAGACTTCTTCAGCCCATGCAGAATCGGAACCGAACAGTTTGAGGAGCCCATTCTGGTTACAACAGATATTGAAGAAAACGGATAAGCATAAACGGACGCTTTCACTTATTAAACCTTTTATTATCCATAATTGTTGACAGATCTTTTATACTTTGAAACTCGGCTGCAACTGATCCAGAATTACATGCGTTGTCTTACAGCAGATAAAATTCAGAAAATACAGCTACACGTTTCATTATTGGGAGAGTATATATTCGTATGTTTGTACTTGATATGTCAAGTATCTTGTGTACATTCAAAGTCAATGGGTGTGAGTTTAAATTATCGCCGCACTCAGTAATATTCTAGCTATATGGCGGCAGTCTGTAAATATTCGAGTCTGGACCAGACAATCCAGTGATCAACAGAATGAGCATCGATCCGCGCAACTGGGAACCGATGACATGTGTCAACCAAGTCAGCGAGCCTGACCACCCGATCCCGTTAGTCGCCTCTTACGACAAGCATGGGTTACTGAAGATCAATCCTAACCCGGATCTTCACGGGTCCAAAGTCAGTGAGCTTTACTGCCATTATAAACATTGTGGATAAGTAAGATAATTTGACATGTCCATTGGAAGACAACGTTTACGTCATTACATTGCTGCTCATATCAGCTGTTGAGCGAAAATAATACAACTTGGATAACAGCAAAGTTGACCAAGCACTGAACAACGCATCAGAAGTTCATTTCCATATACATGCATATAGTTGCATCAGGAATTTGTGTATTTTAGACAAACATCCTATTAATTTCGTATTCGTAAGTATTAATTGATCAACATTTTAGACAACTTTGTAGACTCTTAAGACAAAATAAACATAAAAAACGATTTCGTTAATAAATTGCAGTGTTTAAATGAGACCAGAAACTGTAAAATGCGCTGTGACATCAAGTTGACAGAAAAGATGATGGTGCAATAAATGAAGTGTTAAGTAGCATCCAAACACAGCTCTTCCCGGTGAAACATTACGTAAAGCGTTGTCCATGCACGGGTCCGAAAAGAACTCCAGAACGCTCACTTCATCGGCCAGTGCTATGGGCAGACATATGTCCATACACGCGTATGTCCATCCTTGTCGCGAATACAAGTTGGTTCATCGTGGCATTGACCTCATGGATCATGCTGGTGTTTGGAATATTCTGCAATTTCACCCACTGTGACCTGCTCTTTTTGATGTGAACACGGGAACACCCTGACACATCTCTTCAAGGTGTTTCAAGCACGTTCAACAGGATTGAGGGGAGATCTTACATACAGCATGCGTGACGACTCTACTGGTTACCATGGAGTACCAGTCAACGTAGATTAGTAATAGTCACTTTGTGCCAGTGGAATGATGTCAGGTGCCATGATTTCATACATGTGACGCACACTGACCAACATTACGTCACTCCACATCACTCCATGCTTGCGTTGCGAATATCACTCGAGTTTGAAAGTGACATTTTACCAATGGTTAACCTTCCTGTTGCGACGGTGACAGTTGTTCAATGAATCTATTCCTAAATGTCAATAGTTTAACTTGGTGGATGTTCTTAAAGCACATGGCCTGAATGCTCGCAAACACTGATTGCAAAACGTGATTAGTATTTTTGGAGACAAATTTATGGGTGTATGATAAAAGCCATTATCATATACCTATGAATAATATGACAATTTTGCACATACAATACTGACTGTCGGAATATGTCCATATTGACCACCCGGGCCGAATATGCATGTCAGCCGTAATGCCCGGCTACTAAACTGGTGCGGAAAGAATACACGCAAACGCTCGAAACTTCAATAGACGGAGCCTAGTTTATTTTAGGGTTACGTCTATTGATGTGGTGTATGATAAAAAGGTTATGATATGAGTTTCCTTTCGCCAGTCATATCAGCCCGAGACTACCTTATCAGCCCGAGGGGCGAACCTCTTAATATCACCTTCAGTGGTTAAAGACATCTGTAACATGAACAACTGGGGGTGAAGCCCGTTGCTACATCTACAGTATGTAGTGTTCAGACTGGTAATTCTCTAGTCAAAGAAATAACTATTTATGACATCAAGCTAATACACAATAACACAAAACACTTACCTCAACAATATAGAAATATATTTTATGATGTTTCAACCTTAACGACAAACATCTACCAGTGTACCGTGTACTAGAGAACTACAGGAGCAGCCAGGAAAGAATGTGTTTATGTATTACCCCAACAATAGATTGTTGACGAAGTGCTGAAAACGCATTGTGAAGGGAAAATGACATTGTTCCCGATAAACCAGCGGTTGGTATAATGAGCAATGCCCCGTGCCGTCGGGTTGGGATGATACTCAGTTAGAGCCTGAACACACAATCAATTTCATCTATCTTTTTCGACAAGGGATATAGTAACGATGGCTGATTCCAATCCGATTCTCCACTGGCTCAGCAAAATTTAATGCATTATCAAACATAATTGCTCAATATAAAATGTCATAACGATACATGCAGAAATAGTTGAGTAATGAGCAAAAATGACATGTTCAATATTGATGATAAGTGACTTATTTAAAAACGGCATTATTCAGAGGACATTAGATGTACCATCGCAAAGATCACCCAAAAGTTCGGGTTTGTTTGTTAGATATCCCTTTATGTTCTTTCTTTTATCATATTTTAATTTGAGATTCTGGATGAATTGCTGATATTTTTACCTATAAACAAAATCACCAACCTTTCAGACTAAAACATAATGATGTTTGTGTCTGCTTAAGACAACTGTCAAAGTTCTTTAGTCTCCCTGTTACTGTGACTGATGTCTGACGTGTGGTTTTATGACCAGTGACCAAACAAACAATTTGGCGCCCACTTTAAAAAAATAACTTGCTATGTGTACAAGATAATACCTAACTGTTACCCTGCCATCGATTACTTGTGCTGCAACCGATTACTTTTCCTGCCACCGATTCCTACCACCGATAACTTGTCCTGCCATGAACAACTCATCCTGCCACAGATAACTTGTCCTGTCATGGATTACTTGTCCTGCCACAGATTACTTGTCCTGCCATAGATTACTTGCAGGACAACATCACTGACAGTTCACCAAATTTGTAAATCAATGACTGTCGTGGAGAAAAGTTCTTCCAATTTGAAGGAATGTTCTGCAATTACTATGTCAATTTTCAAGACTCATGTACAGTACAACCAGAAATTATTAAGATTTAAAGATTGTAATTTTTTTTTTCACTCATTACTCACGTATTAAATGTGAATATTAGCAGAACATAACTCCAGATTCAAAGACAGGTGAACAGTTAGTATTTTGTCAAGTCACCATGGGCAGCAATGCAGGCTTCAATGCAGCGGGGCATACTACTGATCAAAGAAGTTAAAAAGTCGTGGTCTATGCTGTCCCAATATTGTCAGATTTTTCTTATTGACACTTTCCTTCATAAGTCCCCAAACATTTTCTATTGGATTTAGGTCAGGGCTATAGCTTGGCCAATCTAATAATGTCATATTTTGGGTCCGAAACCAGGCCTGTGAATGCTTTGAACGATGTTTTGGGTCGTTGTCCTGTTGGAAAATCCAAAAATGTCCATAGGACACGTGTAATGTCCCTCGAGAATATCTGTGTACCGCTCACTGTTCATATCCCCTTCAAATACACAGAGGGGCGTTGCCCCTAACACAGATATGCCACCCCACACGTTAAATTTCGGACTGTACTTTGGGCGCTGATACAAAGGTTTTTCAGTTTGTTTGGTCCAGAATTTCAGTGTATTAGGAAACAGCCACACAGAACTATCTTCTGAGAAAATCACATTTTCCCAGTTACAATTTCTATGCTGTAAGCACCTGTTCAACCTTCGCTCCTTTTGTTCAGGTTTCATGATCGGTGATGGAATTCCTCGACTTTTCTGCCAACCCATTGCATGCAGCTCAGTTCTAAGTGTCTCCTTACAGACAGCCACAGTTCCTCTATCAATCATATCCAGCCTTAAGTTTTCTAAACTCCTTCGTTTGTTTTTAGAAACAAGAATACCAAGCCGCCTCCTGTCACCGACAGTCAATTTTCTGGGCATACCTGCGCCTCCCTGGTGCTCAATGCCATATCCATTTGCAATATTTTTCAAAACACGATAAACAGTGGACAAAGGGATGCCTGTTCTACTTGAAATCACTTTAGCTGACCTGATGTGTTTGTTATAATACTCTAAAATCAACTTCCTCTTCTCTAAATCATCCATACTGAGGATCACTGAAAATGTCTGCTAGCAAGTAAACAAAGGGGGATAACTCTTCACAAACTAATGAAAAAGGATTAACGGAGTTGATAGCTGGTCAAGCACTTGATAACTGGTCAAGATTGTTTATACTAGAAATCCAATTAAACATATTCCTCAAATTCTCAATAATTTCTGGACATACTATAATACTCAGTGGGTACACTGTCAGAAAAAAAAGGAGAACTAATGTACTTGTTGGGTCTGAATATAAGTTTAGGTGGTTCTGTGTGTTCCCTTGATTAGCTGGTGGTACACATCTGAGCAGACACCTTGGATCCAGGGCCTCTCTTGACTAGTTTGGATACAGGGTTAACGAGTCGTCGCATACAACATCTGCCCTGAATACATAAACAACTTCTAGAAAGTGGTCAAATGTAACAAGTTTCATACCTGGGATTACTCTTTTCTTAACATTCCATCTGACCACTTCTAAACAGGCATAGTTTATTAATATCGTTTGGCCATGGGAGATATGCCAACGTACACTGTGGCTGAGTGGGTTAGATCGCTATTTTTTTGTACAGGTGACTGCAGATTCGAATCTGTACTTTACTGAGAAAGTGTAAATCCAAACATAACTCATGTTACAATTGTAGTGCAGACAATGAGAAGTAACTAGGTTACCATTATTCTGTGACTTTATTGTATTAATCACTTATGTGTCCATACAGGCAATTTCATTTATGCAGGTTGTAACTAAGAGAAAATAAGGATTCATGACTGCACTGTGTCACAGAAATAATGACGTAGTATTAAACAAAGGTTTGTCCAGAGAAACATTATTGGCATGTCAGTTTCTGTCTCATGAAGTGTTTGTGATACCGTGATACAAAGAAAAACTTCTTTCTTACAGTGTTAGAATGGAGCACCGAAACTCATCTGTTCATATGAGTGAACCACTGTATTTTCCAGTAATAATATGATACATGCATTATCCTCACACATACATACTTCTACTTGTGCCTGAGTCTTATACAAGCTGATATTTTTTGTATGCCCTCTAACGTGAAATCTATGCTATCTACAGTACATATGAAGCTGACAGCATAAACATCTTCTAACCACACATGCTGGTTCACACCAACATGCATACAGTCATAACTATTATCATTTTGTACAAAACATTTTCATATGTTTAACAAAGCACTATTGAGTTGACCTCCAGTGGAAGCATGTCAGTATATTATATATATATATATTCAAATATCTATTCACTAATCCCAATAATAGGTGTTCAGTATAGAACTAAAGACATGCTGGTCTGTCTGTTACCATGTTCACCACACATGACAGCCAAATGTGGAAGTATTAGGTCCAATGTATACATTGTATAAAACTCTCTGCCACATACATCTAACCTAGAGAGCAATATTACAACACAAAATAGTACAACTAAAGACAAAATCAGCAATACATCTGAACAATGTCAACACAAACAGTTACCTGATACACAGAATTCTAATCAGGAAATGCCTCTTTGCTCTCTGATAGAGAGATCAAAACCTTGTTAAACAACAGTTCAAGGTTCATTTCCCTTACTGCATGTACCATGCATGCATAACATGTGAAAACATTAATATCTTATACAAACAAACATCATCAGTACAATTCTTTGGACTAGGCATTTCTCTTTGGAAATTAATAATTTGAAGGAAGACAGTAGTAACATAATATATGATTTACTTGTCTGTAATTCAACCTTACATACCTGTATGAGACAGTGAGAGTGATAAGGTGGTTTCATGATTTGCCAGCTCAACTTGAAACTTGATAATTATCATGCTTATACCAATGCACAAACTCACTTTCAGATATCTCAATTGTTAACCTGTGTCAATCAAAATCCTTGTTAACAAAACACATCCAATACAGAATTACATTATGTACCAGTACTCATGGGAAAAAGTATTCAGGGATTTACAGGACGCGAATTCCTGTGTCCCATATGCATAAAAATTGACAATGGACGCAACAAAATTTATTAAGCGCGTCCACAGGGACTCAGAAAAAGTCCAAATACTTTTTGTAAAAATTCCAATCAAGTGACAATAAGTTATCACTGAGTTTGTTACTAGCTGGGTTATATGGTATTATTTGCAATTTAATTACTGTAACAATGTCATGATCATGATACACAATACAATTACAGTATTAATAATAATTAAGTGTCTGGGACCCCCATTTTGTTGTCCAGGATCCCTGAAAATTAAGAGTATGAGCTTCAGGGACTCTCAAATACCACAATAGTGTTTGTTTGTTTGTTTGTATCATTATTTTGACCCTTCAGACACTGTACATTGACTTTAGATATGCATGTGCTATGATCAAGGTTGAGCATCACATGCAGTATGTGTACCTGTCATTAAGCAAATACCAAGCTTCAGTCAGCTGTCCCTACAGCTGGATAACAGACGATAGCATTGTTGATAAGCAAATATGACAACTACTCAAAGATGGCAATTCATTGGCATGTGGAATGCTGGCATGTCATTGAGGGCTATTGCATGAGGTGTAGGTCGTCATCCATTAATGACGTTAAGGACTGTCAGCGTTCATGCTGACCATGAGTCACACAACCCCCAAGGAGAACACAGCCCCTGTCCGTATCACAAGACTTATGTCAAGGGTACATAGCCTCTGTCAAGAATTGAACGCAGTAACTCAACGTCAAATTCAATGTCTGGGTGATACAGTCAATGAGGAGGAGGGTCTGGGATGTTATAGCAGTTCTCAGAAGTTACACCAGATAGTGACATTGTGCTCAGTCATTGATATGGTTTGCTATGGTTAATGGTAACATATTGATACTATGCAAAGTACAGTGTGTTGCGATACTTTTTCCTATGAGTATATAAGAACACATCATCACTCTGAAAGTAACTCTCTGTTATATGACATTTCACATTGCAATTATCATAGTATTACAAGATATGTATTATCAAACCTGGCACAATAGTATTTCATCTTCATCCTTTTTATGTCATTATAATTCGATTAAGTCAGCTATAGAACCAGAGAAGTATTTAACATCATTAGAAAATAAGGATTTGATAAGAGCCATGTGTAAATTTAGACTTTCCCTACACAATTTTATTGTCAATTTTTCCAGAAGGTAAAAACAAGACAATATTGACCTAATTAAATGTGCAAACTGTAAATTGGGTTTTATTGAAGATGAATTCCATGTATTATTAGTTTGTGATAAATATAAAGATTTGAGAGAGAAATATCTTCCACACATTAAACATGTCCATAAAAACTAGATGTTAATGGTAAATTTATTAAACTCTCACAATCCTCTTGTTATACATGCAGTTGCAACATTGTTAAAACATATATTTATTGCTAGATAACTATTTCAATTTGTGCTCACGTGACATTAAAAAACAACAACATTATATATTAACTGTAAAATGGGCCATAAGGCCATATTACCGAAAAAAGTGTCTGTCTGTCTGTCTGTCTTTCTTATTGACACATACAACATTCCTGAATGACCTTGTCTTGACTGTTGGGCATCATATATTATCTCACTGTCAGCAATGTATTTCTGTATTATACTAGTAGTTACTAAGTATTACAAACTGTACAAAGTTAGACTTGAAAACAAACTGAGCAAGTATGTTTTAGACCAATTTTAGTAGGGCTGGCTATCGATACAGATCACAGAGATCGATAGTCATTAACTAAATATGAATCAACTGTCAATAAATGTAAGAGTTAGATGGATTTGTATGCAACACAGGAATTCTCCAATGCCATTAAACACACTGTAGGAGACATTTGGATCATCTTCACAGTATACTTTAATCTTATAATACAACAGCTTTTCAAAATATCCTTAACCTCCGACTTGCAGATAAAGTTTGAAGTGGTAGGTTACCTAAGTTACATAAAAGAATGCAGTGTCATACCAGTTGAGATAAATGTACCAACTGACCAGAAGAAAACCATGTAATAAAAGAAATTTAACACAGATCCCAAGCTTTCATAAATCTTGAACAAACTGGTGCCTATCTTAAAAATATACAAAGTTTCATGATGGAAGAAATATCTCTGATATAAAAAAGTATTGTGAACTAATTATTAGAAAAATATCCATTAGCCTTGATCAAATTCCAACAAAGCATTAACATGCTCATATAAAGCAGTCCTGCTTCACATGTATTTGTACAGTCAAGCACTACAGCATGTAAGTAGACACTTTGTTATTTGAAACTCCCATCCTTTTTGGCTCTGCTCCTTTGCATTGTATGATGTGAGTTAGTATTTGCAACCAATCATGAGTAACACACAGTGTGCTTGAGCCAACTACAGCATGCTTTGTGCTACATCTGACATTAATAAAATTAGGTCTATATCATAGTTATTATAAGGAGGTATTTCCAAGATATTCCATTTCACAACTTCAGTAGTAATACATTCTGGCTTAACAATTATGTAAGTTCAACAACAAGGCATGACACTTGTAAATCATGTTCAAATTAGGGCAGAAATGAGTAGCACTTTTATGATAATATTGATAAAAAAGAGGGATATATAGATATCAATTGCAGGGTATTTCAAACCAAATATTTTCTGTCAAGTTTTCCAACAATATATCAACAACTATATGGCAGGCTTGAATCAGTTTCAAGATAAGGCTATGCTGTTTCATTGAGTCTCATTTCCTGATCTGGTCCACTTTGACACATACTGACATGATAACACATCCCAGTTGATGTACTCTCACACTCCTCTGTAATATTTACAGCACTTAGATGAAGAGTGATTACAAATCACAAGTCTGTACTGTTAATGAGTATCCTCAAGTCCCAAGTAAATTTGCATTGATTCTGTACTTTAGTCTGTGTGATGAATGTTGAAGGTAAAACCTGTTGACAGTTTACAAAATGTAATGAATAACACACTGTTGTGACTAGTTATACTTGCAGATCCAGACAGGCTCTTGCTGCTGCTGCTGCTGTTGCTGTTGTGGAGGTGACATTTGTTCAAGTCTTTGCTGTTCTGTCTGTTGGTTCTCTATCATCTGCGGTTGTCCAATAACCTGCCCCTCAACTTGCTCCAGCAGCTGCCTTTCAACTGGGTGTTGATCAACATGCCTCTCAATCTGCTGCTCCAGTCTCTGCCTATCTGAAGTCTGCTGTTCAGTGACTATCTCCATTGAGTGATGATCCATGACTGGTCTATCCAACGAACCAAGGTCTATAGTGGACCTGTGTAGAGGTGGATGGAGGATCTGTAGGCCTTGCTGCTGCTCAATTTCTTGTCTTCTCATGGCCAGAAACTCTAAAGCACGACGCTGAATATCTTCTGAATGTTGCTGTATTTGATCTTGCTCTGATACTTCATGGTGACTGCTCATTGCACGTTGATCAAGATGGTGAGTGTCGCCCGAAGTTATTCCTACAGTCTGAATCATATCTACTACCTGTCCTGCTTGAACATGCTCAGCAGTGTCTTCTTGCTCATAGTGTTCAGTCTCTACTGGCTGCTCAAGTCGTCTAGTTTTTATCTCAATGGTTCCGTCTGGTCTCTTCTCACCATAGGCATTTATAAGGATCTGGGCTGCTTTTTCTTGAATATCAGCACCTCTACCTTCATTAACACGGCATGTTATTAAGTTAGCTTTCTTTGTTAGCATTTCACCGACATGACATTTAGAGTGTTTGCTAAGATCACATCTTTTCAGAAAACCAGTACCACAAATCTTGCACTTGTATGGTTTTTCTGATGTGTGTAATCTCATGTGTATATTGAGAGTTCCACTCTGTGTGAAGCCCTTGTCGCACACACTGCATTTATATGGTTTGTCTCCAGAATGTGATCGTGTGTGTCTGAGCTGGACACTTCGGTCAGCAAAACGTTTGCCACAAACCTCACAGACATAAGGTTTTTCCCCCGTATGGGTCTTAATGTGACATTCAAGAGAACTTCTATGAGTGAACTGCTTCCCACAAACATCACACTGGTAAAATTTTGTTTCGGTGTGAGTCTTCACATGGTAGATCATTGTTCCTTTGTGAGTATACTGGCGTCCACAAATGTTGCATTGATAGGGCTTGGGCTGCGGGGCATGACCCTCGGATAGATGAGTTGCAAGGTGTCTTTGAAGCCACATGTTTTCTGAATATGCTTTTGGACATAGGTGACAAGCAAATGGCTTTTCACCACGATGTCTTCTTATGTGCCTCTGCAATTTACTATTACACTCAAAAGTGTCGCCACACTCATCACACTTATGTCGTCCAGAATGCTTTCTTCTATGGGCAAGAAAATTCCTCCGAATAGGAAATGCCTTCCCACAAAATTCACATGCCCAAAGGCCATCTGCAGAATCTGGATTAGCATCTGGAACTGGACCACGTCCTCTGTACCATCTCTTGTTGAACTTCATATCCCTCTTTGCCACTTTCTCAGCAGCTCTTAATGCTTTAGGTTTATTTTTGGAACCCTTGGGCCTACCTTTCTTCCTCGGAGGCATATTACCTCTTATGATAAGTGACATCACTTCTGGAGGAATTTCTGGTTCAGTTGTACCATCTGTTTCAGATTTCACTGTTGGAGTCAAATTTAGCTCTTGAGCATACTTACTCTTAGAGATTTCCTCTTGTACAACGCATTTTTTTTCGCGAGGCTTCATATGTTTAACCTCTGTGTAGTTATCTTCTCCAACATAGTCATCAGCAGTCATATCTTCTGAGAGAGAAATGTCTTCTTCTGAGTCCCCAGCTGTTTGGTCAATAACAATTGTTGATACTCGCTTTCTTGTACTCTTTCTGACAGGGGCTATGGAATCATTATTTTCTACTTTCACTGTACTTTTCCTTGGGCATTTGTTAATTGTTGGCTTAACAGCAACTTTACTTTCTGATGATGCTAAAGTCTTCTTTCTACCTCTTTTCCCCCTTGCTTTTGTTTCCTCTGGCATGAATCTGACAAGTCTGCATGTGTTACACATTTCTTTACCTGCTTCTGCTACTGTTGTCTCAGGCAGTTCCTTTCCACATACACAACATGTGAGGAATGTTCCACATTCACTGTTTTCTGTTGAGAGTATGGAATCATCATCCATATCAAATGTTATCTGAAAGAACCCATCATCTTTTTTCTTCATTTTTGAATGTTCGCCATCTGAATCACTGTCATCACTTTCTGTAAATGAACATTCAAACTTATCAGTCACTATTTCTGATGTTGTGAGTTTTTCAGTTTGCAAACCTTGCTTGCTGTCACTCTGTTCTTTATATTTCTCAGTTTCCCTAATATTTCCTGTACTGTGCAGTTGTACAGGAGTGGTAGTGAAGGCACTGTCCATTGAACAGCTGGTCTCAGGCACAGACTGGCCATTCTGCTTCTCCTGGACTGTGTCTGGATTTGTGAGACCAGTGGTAACTGGATTCTCAACATAAGAATCATCAGTTGGGTTGATCGAGGACTCTGCAAGGTTCATTGTAGCAGATGAAACACAAACACTGCCTTCAGGTGTAGTTGGCGTTTGAGCACTAAGCATGTCGTCAGTTGAATCAATACCGATATGTGGCTTTACGTTGGTAGTGGAGGGCACAACAGTTGTTGAAGAAGACACACATGAAACAGAATGAACTGCATTTCTTGGTACAGTCTCGTCTTGTCCACTGTTCCCATCTGTTGTTCCCTGTCTTGATGCAGTAATGTCACTGATTAAATATGTTCTAGAGTCTGGCAGATCTGGGGAAACACCAGTGGGTGAAGTCATCTCAACTGCTTCATGTGTTGCCCTGTCTAGAACAGACGTTTGTCGGATTTCTTCTGTATCTGTTGGAACATGATTAAGAGAACTGATGCTGGTCAAGCCTGATTGGTCCATCTGTGGAAGCATATGGCTTTGTTTCTCTGGTGGAACACCTCTAACAATGGCTTCTGATGACATGGCCAACAAAGACTGAACTGCCTGTTTGTTGTCTGAATCCATTTCCAGTGCAAAGCCTGTTCGTGATGGCTGAATGTCAACACCCACAGCAGGCTGGATACTTTTGTTAGTGGCTGAACTGTCACTCATCATGGAGAACTCCTTGACTGGTTAGGTTTCTGTGAATAGATGATATAAAATCTATCAGATCTATATGTCAGTGGAACAGTTTACATGCTTGAATAAAGGAAAGCAAAACATTTAATAATTTGAGCACTTAGCATGTTGTCAGTTGAATCAATACCGATATGTGGCTTTACGTTGGTAGTGGAGGGCCCAACAGTTGTTGAAGAAGACACACATGAAACAGCATGAACTGCATTTCTTGGTACAGTCTTGTTGTCCACTGTTCCAACATGAAACAAATTGACAATGTCTCATTTTCATTAAAAAAGTGGAGACTCAAGACCTAACTGATTTATTGATAAGATATTCCGTGATGGGACAGTAGATGTCGCAACTGTGTTTAGATCAGTGTTATTTGGATGTGCGCAGCTTCAACTAACTTCAATTATCTACTTAATAAACTGCGTTTCTATGAATTAAAAGCCCCAAAAGTGATCAAGGCTCACTAATAGCCCTAACCATAACTTATAACTTCAGCTGACTGACTGACTGACTGAGTTTGGTTTTACGCCGCTTTTAGCAATATTCCAGCAATATCACGGCGGGGGACACCAGAAAGGGCTTCACTCATTGTACCCATGTGGGGATTCCAACCCGGGTCTTTGGCGTGACGAGCCAACGCTTTAACCACTAGACTACCCCACCGCCCCAACTTCAGCTGAACAACAATTAACAATGACTACTCTTATCTTGCCAAAAACACAATATCTGTATCAAACTTTCGCACAGAACCCTTCCTATAAAGAACCCATTATCAAAATATGAAAACAGTCCATTAAAAAATAGTAAAATTATTGACTGACCACATTTGATATGGGACTTTTATCCTAGTTTAGGTGAGTGAGTATGGTTTTGCGCCACTTATAGCAATATTCCCGCAACATCACGGCAGGGGACACCAGAAATGGGCTTCGCACATTGTACCCGTGTGGGAATCGAGTTTTGGAGATGTAGTTTGTGATAACTCTTGATTGATTAAAAATATCAAATCATAACTTTGAACTGCACCTATCCAATAGATATGGAGAGTTATCCCCAAACAAAAAAACCAATCCATTCAAACGTATTTGTTGAACAAAAATTCCACTGGTTCAAAATATGTAAGTTGCACTGCACCTCCTCCTCCACTAACCTTTGGTCTTTATGATTTATTTGCAACACACACAAACACACCCTTTCTCCGCCCCTGCATACATATAACATTATATTTTTTAATCTCGTCTGATGATACTGTCCCAATGATTGCATCTTGTGCGAAATGATGACAGTTCTGTAATTATGTAACTCTCTGCTCTGCTGACAACATAATCATGCAATACATTGACGTTCATCGGAAATGAACGACAACAGGCTTGGTAGTGATCACTCGCTACTGTTATAATGCGCTCGTAAAATCCCTACTCCAGACTTCCTCACAATCTCCCCTCACTTAGGTCATGCGGTACAGCCTCAAGAAACTGATAAGAAATTCTCATTCCAGTTTACTTAAACAAAGCCGCTTTAGACAGCCACAAGCGTAGCCTTTCGCTTTATCATCCGAACCAACGTTGACGTCTGTCAAACCCAACTTACAGAAATACAGGCTCTTGTATACCGGAGATAGACTGCTGCATGGCGTCTGGTGCATATCCGTCATGGCCGACTGTTGCAAGGTCGCTACATTGCACATAAATTGACTAAGTGCGAACCAATCACCGAATACGTGTTACCGCAGATATCTGCAAATATTACCTTTGGTCACTCCTTATCAGATCCTGGTCACATTTATACAAAAAGCGTATCCACACCACCTCCCAGGATCACATTTCGTTCCTTCACAAAGCCAATACAAAGTCTGGCCTGTGTCTCCTCGTTCCGCGTTCAAGGGAAAGGGAGGTAACCATGCCGTCTAGCTCTACTGCAGAATCAAAGTATGTCGAGAGACCGCATACGCGTATGAGAGGTATTCGTTACCCACATGTACAATGTGCTTTAGCTCATGTTTTCAGTAATCCCAATGTAGATTCTAGTTATATATACTCATATAGATAGTTCAAGAACTTAACCAACTTATAAATATACACTTAGATCTATTGTTTACTGATAATGACACATAGATGTGTGAGATATGTAAAGGTGCATGGATCGCAAGTTATCTGCATAAAGTTAACTGCGGTGGATTGATTATGACGGAAGATGTCCAATTATCGCGATATTTGTATATTGAAACAGTCACACGGATCGGCAGTAAAAGGATTTATCGGCAGTCGTTGAAGTTATAGTCATTTCCCCAGGCACTTTACATGTTTACATGGTATAGATATAATCATAGTGTATTATTCATCAATGCTACAGTATCAGTCAATATGTTATGTGTCTGAGAATCATATATGTAACAGAAGCAGTAAGATATTTATTTATTTTAACAGTATCACTGATAAGGCCATCTCGAACCCCAACAACCAAGAGAACGGGTGGATGAACGGGTGGACTTTTTGAAAAATTTAGATGAAGAAAGATCATGTGGACCTTGTGCAAGTATAAGATTATTCTTTTATATATACAAGTTACATTTCAAACTGATTACTGGCACGCTTTCACATATGCCCTTACAACCTACTTTCCCGCCATACAGACCCTGAAACAAATATACCTAATAGAACCCATGCAAGTCTAGAATATGTGGCAAGTCTCACAGTTTCAGGTCTGTAAATGAAGAAAGTCTTTGGGCTTCATTTTATTATATTTTATAAACATAATTTAGGGCCCTTTTCGTCCCGTAAAATGCGTTCATTTCAGAGTCTATGCAATGGTTCCTGATTTGTCGTGAACAATGGTCATTTGCTAATGTGAATTTGAGGACAACGAATCCTCTTGTACATTTGACCCGGGACATTTCACTTTAAATACATATTATGTACGTTTTCCCCAGTTACAATGCTACATTCTCAATATGAAGGAGAAACAGCTGGTCTGAGCCCCGACACTTGTCACCTCTGCTGATAATGGCCAGTAACAGATGACGTTGTGTTGACGGAGATGAAGATCAGTTCGTGGTGTCGTGTCACCTCTGCTGATAAAGGTCACCAACAGGTGGGATTGTGCCATTGCGTGTTCCTCGCCCTGAGACAACCCTGTTGCACTCTGCTGACGTGGAACACCAACAACATGTCTCCCTCCTTAGGGGCAGGTACTAGCAGATCACCACGGACGCTCAACAAACAGAGCTAACAAAGGTTAGTAGCTAGCTCGCACCACTCTTGTTGTATGTGTATTATGCACTCAGGTAGCTTTCTTCTATACCAGCGTGCCGTGCGTGATGTTACGAGTGTTCATGACCTTGTTACGTTGGTTCCGGAGACGCTCTTCCACTTGGACCCCAGTGCTGGTGTTGATGATGTTGCTTTGTTGGGTCTGTGAACGAGACGGCCATTTACAGCTTTCACAGATAACAACTGTCATCAGTACCAAGCTGGTCATCCCAATGGGTCTCTCAAAGTGTTTGTCAAACCCTGGTCAAGGTTCGTATTGGGGTGTTCTTTATGATTATGTGGTATACGTTGGTTTGGTCAAATATCGCACAGTACACGTGTTTAGGGAAACCAAATGATTGCGCTATTTTACTATGGTGATATATTTGCAGGACGACTGCAAGTAAACAAACAGAATGTTAGCTATGAGGAGGTGGAAAAGGTTCTCACCCCTTTAGGAATTGGTGCCGGCCATTTCCGACCGCGGCATTGTGTAGACGACCAGAAGTCAGCCATTATTATCCCTTTCCGAAAACGACATGAACACCTACCGATCCTCCTCAACAACCTGGTGCCTTACCTGCTGCAGCAGCGCCGGGACTTTACCATCTATGTGGTAGAACAGGTAATCACCATCTCCACTGGAAGAGAAATATCATATCTCAGCATGAATAAGGAGAGCAAAACAGAAGATCTTGTCAATGTTCGATTTGTATCCAGTGTTAGAATCAATACTTGAGCCATGTGAAAAAATGTGATATACTAACTATTTGGTTACTTTTACCAGGTGTCTGATGGGGTATTCAACAAGGCATTAATGATGAACGCAGGCTTCATTGAAGCGGTACGTCTTGGAAAGTATGACTGCTACATGTTCCACGACGTGGACCTGATTCCGGAAGATGACCGAATACCGTACAACTGTCGCCCCGAGCAGGTGGTGCATTTGGTGGCTGCTGTCCGGAAGTACTATTATCAGTAATACAGTGTTTTTGTATACCAACAATGTTTATTGGTAATGTTACGATTCACCAATGCACCGGTGCATCGCCGGAACGATTACCAGGGTGCTATACGCGATTTATTTGTTTTATGATTGATTCATATTTTGATGTACATGTATATCGATTATTATTTGATGTTGCACCAATGTATTATATAAAAACTTTTGCTAAAGCCCGTTTATTTTATTATGTATTTGGCCCTATGACGAATACGAGTCTGCCGTGATAACAAGTCTTGCTAGCTTTACTATTTTGCCTGAGATAACCATTGTTCCCAATATTATTGGATAAGGCCACGCTAGCGACCATAGCCTATCAGAAACATCCAAACGCACATCCTCGCCTAGATACCAAAAGTAGCGTCATGGATATTGCTGATGGCGATTTTGAGAACCCGCCTGGCAAATTTAAGTCTCCTGTTTGGACATATTTTAAGTTTACATTGAAACAGGGGTGCGGAAAGTTTACCGTAACAAAAACAGTATGCACCGTCAAGGAATTCATTCACATAGCATCCCTCAATCTGCCATGTATCGGGTTATCTTGTCTTGTCAAATACAAACAGGAAAGATTATAAAACAGTGAAGTTAGATTATAAAAACAGTGAATTTATCACATTTCATTCTGAATGCACGCCAGAAATGTTTGCATACATACCCACTTTATTACTGAATGCAACCAAAATGTTTGCACCCACTTCATTACTGAATGCACGCCAGAAATGTTTGCATATATACCCACTTTATTACTGAATGCTGTTTGCATATATACCCACTTTATTACTGAATGCACGCCAGAAATGTTTGCATATATACCCACTTTATTACTGAATGCACGCCAGAAATGTTTGCATATATACCCACTTTATTACTGAATGCACGCCAGAAATGTTTGCATATATACCCACTTTATTACTGAATGCACGCCAGAAATGTTTGTATACGGACATATTACTGTATTTACTGGCACTGTTTCAAACTAATATTCTCTGTATACACATTGGTACTGTTACTGTCTGTGTATGTATTGACACTGTTACTGTTTTTGTTAATACTCTCTGTTAAAACACCGGTGATGTGTTTTAGTTTAATAGTTTCTGTATATATATATAGGCAATGTTACTGTGTTAAAGTTAATACGCTCTGTATACATGCTACACTGTTACTGTATATATCCTGGGACTATTACTGACTTCTAGCTAGCTATTGTTGCATACATTCATCTCAATTCACGTTTGATTTTTATCACAGACCAATATTCGTTTTATTCAGTTTCTATCCAAATGACCAGATCACAAAACAAACAAACACACACACACATTGGAGAAGGTGCGTGTGTGTGTGTGCGTGTGCGTGTGCGTGCGCGCGCGCGTGTGTGTTAAACAATGACAATAAGAACTTTGATATATCTAGGTAACTAAATGACCTGGTCGTTGAATTCGACTGTTATTTCATATTTTTGTGTATTATAGATATTTGTTATGTTTCCTCCCATGTTCAGGAAGTCTCACACAGTTAAAGCTATATCTTGTGTCACTTCAGCGCCATGCGGAGGTATATCGGAGGTGCTTTAGCTTTCACCGAGCAACAGTTCCGTGGGGTGAATGGTTTCTCCAACCTGTACATGGGGTGGGGTGGAGAAGACGACGACATGAGGTTCAGGTAACGTCGGCGGCCAGAACAACCGTATTCGCAGCCCACGAAACAATACCATTTCTCCGGTAAAGAGAACGTGTGTCAACAAGCCAATTATCGAGCACTTATTAATGTGGAGACGTTAAATCCCGAATTTCACGATGATCATGTTCTACGCTCATCTAAATAAGGACTGTTTTTTCCCCAAATTGTCAGTTGTCAGGGGCTGGCGAAGTAATGGTCACATCTAACGTTGCCAGATACTGCCCTGTTCCAGATTAGACCTCCTGAGTAATCCAGTGTATGAAGTACCTATACAGATAGGGAGATACTACAGCTTCAATCACTCGATTGACGAGGGCAACCAAGTCAATCACCACAGGTAAATACTACAGCTTCAATCACTCGATTGACGAGGGCAACCAAGTCAATCACTACAGGTAAATACTACAGCTTCAATCACTCGATTGACGAGGGCAACCAAGTCAATCACCACAGGTAAATACTACAGATTCAATCACTCGATTGACGTGAGCAACCAATTGCAAGTCAATCACCAAAGGTATATACTACAGCTTCAATCACTCGATTGACTAGGGCAACCAAGTCAATCACCACAGGTAAATACTACAGATTCAATCACTCGATTGACGTGAGCAACCAAGTCAATCACTACAGGTATATACTACAGATTCAATCACTCGATTGACGTGAGCAACCAATTGCAAGTCAATCACTACAGGTATATACTACAGCTTCAATCACTCGATTGACGAGGGCAACCAAGTCAATCACCAAAGGTAAATACTACAGCTTCAATCACTCGATTGACGTGAGCAACCAAGTCAATCACTACAGGTATATACTACAGCTTCAATCACTCGATTGACGAGGGAACCAAGTCAATCACCACAGGTAAATATTACAGCTTCAATCACTCGATTGACGAGGGCAACCAAGTCAATCACCACAGGTAAATACTACAGCTTCAATCACTCGATTGACGAGGGCAACCAAGTCAATCACCACAGGTAAATAGTACAGCTTCAATCACTCGATTGACGAGGGCAACCAAGTCAGTCATCTCGGGGGAATAGTAAAGATTCAGAGCCACATGCGTCGGTAAAGGTGAATACTACTTGGCACCGCTCGTCTCATACGTTGTATGAACTTCAAAGAAAGTACGAAGGTTCAGTATATTCAATAATCACTGAATTATATCACTGAATGATGATGGTGTATATTTTCTCTCACGATTGACACATTTATACTTATTGTGTAATTCTTGACACTCAGAGATACTGCAGACACACCTGTTTAAAGTTTTGAACATCTTTACAGGAAAGAGTTACTTTGGGAGGCAGGTAAACGAGCTGCCATTGACGGTCTAACGTCACTGAAGTATACTGTGGAAAGTGTCGTCAAATCACCGTTGTTTACTTGGGTTAAAGTACGGTATGACCCGCAACACTACAGGTGAGATTCCACTCAATGTCAAAAGGTAGGCGTGGCATTTAAATCTCAGTTAGGACCTTATGTTTGATCTGCCTGCCCTGAAACTGTCAGATGTGTATCTGCTGCCTTCCAGAGACCCCTGTATAAAGTGCCCCAAGTAATGACCACATAATCTATCTGTCAGCCACATTTTGACAGTGCCCCAAGTAATGACGCCACCATCTATATTTGCAGTTGCATCAATGCTCAATGGTTTTAAAGGGAAGTACCATTGAGAGATATAATGTCGTGCATCCGTATTTTGTTCACTCATTATTCATCGTGTAATCCTTTATTGTAGTGCTCTCTTCAACGCTGTCGTCAATGGGTCCTTGGAAATGCCTTAAATGAAACATTGCCATTAATGTAAGAGCATGGCGTCCCTGCTGCGAGAACAAGCACCTCGCTATGTTTAACATGACAAACCAATCTTCAAGGCAGTTGATATAAACCCATCTTCTTTGAAAGCATGGGCACATTGAGGATGCGATTCAAATATTCGTGAGCCTGCAGTGCCAGTGTCGGCTGTGGCAAAGTCTTCTACTGTCCCATACATGCATAAAGGTGTTGAGATCTGATGACAGACATCAGGGCAAATGATGCGTTGGTGTAGTGTAGTGAGTCTGGCGTTATCGTGCTAAACAGGCTGGTGTTTTACGTTTTGCACGGCTTTAATGGAGTGTAGCTGTATATTGTCATTTCGGTTTCTTTGAGCTCTAAACCTTGGTTCTTACAGCCTTAGTGCCAGAATGCGTCACGCATAATAAACCCGACATCTTCAATCTGCACGTGGAAGCACTCATCACTTATCTACGCAGATCTCTTTTGCTGTCGATGTCATAGTCCCCGGACATGCCATCACAGAAGTCGCTGTCGTTGATCCGTCGAACTGATACATCACAGACACAGACGTAGCGTGATCAGGCGGGTCTTTGAGTGTCATGTTCTGTCCAGTTGGTAACTACTCCAGGGTGCTTGAGGATACATGGAAAGTCCAGGTCCACCTGTATTCCAAGCGGTCCATAGCGTTGTATTTTTCTGCCTCGCGCAATCGCGACATGGGTTTGTTGTTGCTCAGGCAGAGATTATAGTTACACGCAAGCTCTACATTTTTACAAGCTATGTGTCTATGTCCAGTGCAAACCGCACACGTGCAGTTCTCACGCGGCTGTAACAATTGCAATGTGATTAGTACCACGGATCGCTGTGTGTATATCGTTGACATGGTATTAATGATTTTATTCACTTTACTGAGGAGCAATAAACGTTTCCATACATATCAATTCCTCTTATGTTTCTGTATAACTCCGTCCAACCAAACCAAATATCTCTCACAGACATTGGTCATTTGTTATAATGTCGGTACATGAGTTGATTACAACAAACAAAGCTAACTCACGAAACCTCATCAATCACTACACGGCTCTCACAGCTACTGCAACACCCCACCCCAAAACAACCACACCACAGCTACTGCAACACCCCACCCTAAACAACCACACCACAGCTACTACAACAACCCAGCCCAAGAAACCACACCACAGCTACTATAAAACCCCACCTCAAACAACCACACCACAGCTACTACAACACCCAACACCCAAAAACCACCCCACAGCTACTACAACACCCCACCTCAAACAACCACACCACAGCTACTACAACACCCCACCTCAAACAACCACACCACAGCTATTACAACACCCCTGCCTCAAACAACCACACCACAGCTACTACAACACCCCACCTCAAACAACCACACCACAGCTACTACAACACCCCCTACCTCAAACAACCACACCACAGCTACTACAACACCCCACCTCAAACAACCACACCACAGCTACTACAACACCCCAAACAACCACACCACAGCTACTACAAACCTCAAACAACCACACCACAGCTACTACAACACCCCACCTCAAACAACCACACCACAGCTATTACAACACCCCACCTCAAACAACCACACCACAGCTACTACAACACCCCACCTCAAACAACCACACCACAGCTACTACAACACCCCTACCTAAACAACCACACCACAGCTACTACAACACCCCACCTCAAAACAAACACCACAGCTACTACAACACCCCACCCCAAAACAACCACACCACAGCTACTACAACACCCCACCTCAAACAACCACACCACAGCTATTACAACACCCCACCTAAACAATCAGACCACAGCTACTACAACACCCCACCTCAAAAAGTCACACCACAGCTACTACAACACCCCTACCTAAACAACCACACCACAGCTACTACAACACCAAGCCCAAACAGCCACACCACAGCTACTACAACATTCCCCTCTTATACAACAAGACCACACTCGCTGCAACTCTCTGCTCTTCTGCTATCACAGATGATGATCCTCTTATAAGGCGGAGGAGATGATAGCAGCATCTGTGATCCTGTATACAGGATCACAGATTGTTGCAACGTGTGTGGTCTTTTATACAATCACAGATCACATATGCTGCAACAATCCACTCTTATACAGGATCACAGATGCTGCAAATCTCCACTTTTATACAGAATCACAGATGATGCAACTCTCCACTCTTATACAATAAGACCACACACGCTGCAACAATCCACTCTTATACAGGATCACAGATGATACAACATTCCACTCTTATACAGGATCACAGATGATGCAACTCTCCACTCTTATACAATAAGACCACACATGCTGCAACAATCCACTCTTATACAGGATCACAGATGATGCAACATTCCACTTTTATACAGGATCACAGATGACAATCCACTCTTATACAGGATCACAGATGATGCAACTCTCCCCCCTTATACAATAAGACCACACACGCTGCAACAATCCACTCTTATACAGGATCACAGATGATGCAACATTCCACTCTTATACAGGATCACAGATGACAATCCACTCTTATACAGGATCACAGATGCTGTAACTAGTGCAGCTTTACACTGGAGCTCTACCCTTACATAAGCAAACCAAAACATCCCCAAAACTCGAACGTTACATTATAGTTTATACTGAATTGAATTCTCATCCAAGAGCATGTTCACATGTCTACACGTCTGTACCGTCATCACAACTAGTGTGTGTAAATACGTACCTTCCTAACGTCATCACAACTAGTGTGTGTAAATACGTACCTTCCTACCGTCATCACAACTAGTGTGTGTAAATACGTTCCTTCCTACCGTCATCACAACTAGTGTGTGTAAATACATACCTTCCTACCGTCATCACAACTAGTGTGTGTAAATACGTACCTTCCTACCGTCATCACAACTAGTGTGTGTAACTACGTACCTCCCTACCGTCATCACAACTAGTGTGTGTAAATACGTACCTTTCAAATGTCACCACAACTAGTGTGTGTAAATACATTCCTTTCTAACGTCATCACAACTAGTGTGTGTAAATACGTACCTTTCTAACGTCATCACAACTAGTGTGTGTAAATACGTACCTTTCTACCGTCATCACAACTAGTGTGTGTAAATACGTACCTTTCTAATGTCATCACAACTAGTGTGTGTAAATACATACCTTCCTACCGTCATCACAACTAGTGTGTGTAAATACGTACCTTCCTAACGTCATCACAACTAGTGTGTGTTGTAAATACATTCCTTCCTCTACCGTCATCACAACTAGTTATGTGTAAATACGTTCCTTCCTACCGTCATCACAACTAGTGTGTGTAAATACATACCTTTCTACCGTCATCACAACTAGTGTGTGTAAATACGTACCTTTCCTACCGTCATCACAACTAGTGTGTGTAAATACGTACCTCCCTACCGTCATCACAACTAGTGTGTGTAAATACGTACCTTTCAAATGTCACCACAACTAGTGTGTGTAAATACATTCCTTTCTAACGTCATCACAACTAGTGTGTGTAACTACGTACCAACCTACCGTCATCACAACTAGTGTGTGTAAATACGTACCTTTCTACCGTCATCACAACTAGTGTGTGTAAATACGTACCTTTCTAATGTCATCACAACTAGTGTGTGTAAATACATACCTTTCTACCGTCATCACAACTAGTGTGTGTAAATACGTACCTTCCTAACGTCATCACAACTAGTGTGTGTAAATACGTACCTTCCTACCGTCATCACAACTAGTGTGTGTAAATACGTACCTTTCTACCGTCATCACAACTAGTGTGTGTAAATACGTACCTTTCTAACGTCATCTCAACTTGTGTGTTATTACGTAACTTCCTACCGTCATCACAACTAGTGTGTGTAAATACGTACCTTCCTACCGACATCACAACTAGTGTGTGTAAATACCTACCTTCCTAACGACATCACAAGTAGTGTGTGTAAATACGTACCTTCCTAACGTCATCACAACTAGTGTGTGTAAATACGTACCTTTCTACCGTCATCACAACTAGTGTGTGTAAATACGTACCTTCCTAACGTCATCACAACTAGTGTGTGTAAATACGTACCTTTCTACCGTCATCACAACTAGTGTGTGTAAATACATACCTTCCTAACGACATCACAACTAGTGTGTGTAAATACGTACCTTTCTACCGTCATCACAACTAGTGTGTGTAAATACGTACCTTTCTAATGTCATCACAACTAGTGTGTGTAAATACGTACCTTTCTGCCGACATCACAACTGGTGTGTAAATGCGTACCTTTCTACCGTCACCACAAAACTGGTGTGTGTAAATACGTGCCTTTCTACCGTCATCACAACTAGTGTGTGTAAATACGTACCTTTCTACCGTCATCACAACTAGTGTGTGTAAATACGTACCTTTCTACCGTCATCACAACTAGTGTGTGTAAATACGTACCTTCCTAACGTCATCACAACTAGTGTGTGTAACTACGTACCTTTCTAATGTCACCACAACTAGTGTGTATAAATACATACCTTTCTAACGTCATCACAACTAGTGTGTGTAAATACATACCTTTCTACCGACATCACAACTAGTGTGTGTAACTACGTACCTTCCTACCGTCATCACAACTGGTGTGTGTAAATGTAAATACATACCTTTCTACCGTCATCACAACTAGTGTGTGTAAATACGTACCTTTCTACCGACATCACAACTAGTGTGTGTAAATACATACCTTTCTACCGACATTACAACTAGTGTGTGTAAATACGTACCTTTCTCCGTCATCACAACTAGTGTGTGTAAATACGTACCTTTCTACCGTCATCACAACTAGTGTGTGTAAATACGTACCTTTCTACCGACAACACAACTAGTGTGTGTAAATACATACCTTTCTACCGACATCACAACTTGTGTGTGTACGTACCTTTCTACCGTCATCACAACTGGTGTGTGTAACTACGTACGTTTCTACCGTCATCTCAACGTGTGTGTCATTACGTAATTTCCTACTGTCATCCCAACTAGTGTGTGTAAATACGTATCTTCCTAACGACATCACAACTAGTGTGTGTAAATACCTACCTTTCTACCGTCATCACAACTAGTGTGTGTAAATACGTACCTTCCTAACGACATCACAACTAGTGTGTGTAAATACGTACCTTTCTACCGTCATCACAACTAGTGTGTGTAAATACGTACCTTCCTACCGTCATCACAACTAGTGTGTGTAAATACGTACCTTTGTGTATGCCGACATCACAACTGGTGTGTGTAAATACGTACCTTTCTACCGACATCACAACTAGTGTGTGTAAATACGTGCCTTTCTAACGTCACCACAACTAGTGTGTGTAAATACGTACCTTTCTACCGTCATCACAACTAGTGTGTGTAAATACGTACCTTCCTAACGTCATCACAACTAGTGTGTGTAAATACGTACCTTTCTACCGTCATCACAACTAGTGTGTGTAAATACGTACCTTCCTACCGTCATCACAACTAGTGTGTGTAAATTACGTACCTTTCTACCGTCATCACAACTGGTAGTGTGTGTAAATACATACCTTTCTACCGACAACACAACTAGTGTGTGTAAATACATACCTTTCTACCGACATCACAACTAGTGTGTGTAAATACGTACTTTTCTACCGTCATCACAACTAGTGTGTGTAAATACGTACCTTTCTACCGACAACACAACTAGTGTGTGTAAATACATACCTTTCTACCGACATCACAACTAGTGT